GGACAAGCATAAAGAACCGCCATGTAATTCAAAATAACATGACTCCAATCCCATAACACCGACGTCTTAAAGACGAGAACTTTAACCTGAACGTTACAAAAGACGACGTCGTCATGAATTTACCACGTCGCATGTTCTTTAATAAACGAAGTGGAAAAGGATGAATTCACGACGGTATTTGAAGTCCATTAAATTCGTCGACGTTAAGATTTATGAATTAGACGACGTTAATTTTTTTAATGAAGACGTATAAATTATTAAACACGACGGTCTTTTTCATGGTACCGACGTTGTATATAGACGACAACGTCGTCCTTATAAATTACTGTGTCGTAATTAATGACCCCATCATTTTTTCCACGTCGTTTATTTTCAAAATATGACGTATAAATTTAATGCTCTCATTTATTTGGAACCGACGTTGTTTATTCATTTCAACGTCGTCTAAGTAAATACATACGTCGTAATTAATGAACCTGACATCTATTTCCACGTCATAATTCATAAAAAATCGAAGTGGAAAATTTATTTTACGACGGTTGTGGGAAATGTTGTGACGTAGTAGGTGTCAATAACGTCGTCTATTATGATTGTAAAGACGTCGTATTTATATTTGTCATCTGTTTCCTTTTTAACGACGTTTTTTGTTGTTGGAGTTGGTCGTCTATTCTCATCCTCGACTGTTTTTTTATGTCTTTTTGCAGCACAAAGACGTCGGTTTTTATTTTTTGATGACGTTTTTTGTTTTAACAACGACGGTTATTCACCGTCGTGGTTTTGTTATGGAAAAGATGTCGGTGGATTCCACGACCATTTGAAAACAGAATACACGACGGTGAATTCCCGTCGTGGTTTTCCTTTTTTGTAGTAGTGACTGGGTTACGGGTCCGTTCGTTATTAGAGATCCAACTTTCTAGATAATTTCAGACTGTGAATTTAGAGAGACCGAGAATGAATTTTGAAGTTAATCATGTTAATATTACTAAGATACATGAACAAACTGGCCCAAAGTTTGTAGATCCAACTGGCCAGATAAATCATGTATATGCTAGCCTGTCAATCGTAAATTCGAATTGAAAGTTAGCTATTTAATCAATAATTAATATATGGGTTAATATCATTTTACCTCCTCAAAATTTAGGTCATTCTTGAAATGGATCACGTAGTTTTAATTTTGTCAATTTACTGCCTAAAGTTTTAAAATTCGACCAATTTACACGTTCCTTCAATTTGACCGTTTAGTCTTCTGTTAAGTGATGATCCACCTTTTTAGCTTAAGTGTAATAAAATATGTAATAAATAATATTAAAAAATTCTTTATTTTTAAAGTTAAGTAAAATCAATTATTTAAAACAATAAAAAAAACATAATTAAAAACCCAACACTATGACCAAACTCCCCAGCTGTCACCAACCAACTCCAAACCCAGCATCTCCACTACCACCATCCTTCTTCTTCCTCCTCTTTCTTCTCTTCCACTATCCCCACCTTCGTTTCCAACACCCATTTCTCCTTCAGACGCCTACGCTCATCTCCACCCTTCAAAGGAAGGAAACTAGGGGTAGGAATGGTTTCAGATTTGGGGTGCGATGAGTTGGGGAAGGGGCAGTGGTGGAGGTAGAGTTTGATATTTGGGGGGCACAAGCTTAAAACTATGGGATTTTTTTGTGTAATCTATACTACACTCTTTATATAGTCAAAGAGGTGAGAAGATGGTGGGGGACCCAGACCATCTCAGGCCTATGAATAGCTCCTCCCCTGGGAAGGGGAGAGTGGGTTGTTTGCAGGTGGTGGTTGTGAGGTATTTTGGGTTGTTTGCAGGCGTTGGTTGTGAGGTGGTTTGGGTTGAAAGAGAAGAGAGGGTTTGGTGGTGGGGTTGGTAACGAGGCTTGGTTGGAATGTTGGTTTTTTTTTTTCGGTTTTAAATAATTGAATTTAATATTTTGAATTAACTTAAATAAAAAAATTAAATTATTTTTTATATATTTTATTACACCTAAGATAACAAGGTGGACCCCGTGTTTGCCACGTCATCAGTTAACCCACGTTTGCCACGTCATCACTTAACAGAAGATCAAGCGGTCAAATTGTCAGTATGTGTAAATTGGTCGAATTTTAAAATATTAGGGCTTAAATTGACAAAATTAAAATCTCGTGACCCATTTTAAGAATGATCTCAAATCTTGAGGGGGTAAAATGATGTTAGCCTTTAATATATCAACAAAATGAGAACATAATTAAGCAGCAAAAAATTTTCTACAACAAAATTTAAAGCAAAAATACATTGCAAATCAATTTTTTTTTTGGACAACCATTGCAAATCAATGGTGAAGACAATTCTTAATTTAATTTAATTTCTATTTCTTTTAATTGGAAAATATCCCAAGTTTAAATCCTATGTCCCAGGTGACAGAAAACAAGTTCCAACAGTCCAACTTGGCCAAATGGGTCAAGTCCAACTTGTATTCATTATTAGCCAGCTAAAGTCAGCAAAACGACAACTCGATTTTAACCCTTGACTAAAATTTTGTAATTTTACAGGAATTATTTGACTTTCTTTTTTGTTTTTGTCAAAAAAGTCATTTTTCATCTTAAATAAATATGGTAACGGCAAAAATATAATATTATTGTCGCCAATGACGACTATTATTGGGGTGGACTCAAGGTAAGGTGATTTTCCGTTGTTACACGTTACTCAATGTATAATATTCATGTGTTACGTTTGAAATTTCACCATACATACATGGGCGTGTGTAAGGATGTGAAGAATATCCTATATTGAACAAAAATAAGCTCATCACAATCAAAAGCAAATCCTATCAAGTGGACACCATTATTACAATTTCTCGGCACATGCTTAAGTTTAAAAACTATATCATCGGTCCCATTGCTTTCGCAACCATACTGTGTGTGCATGTATATATACAAAAATCTTTAGAGGGAATTCTCAAATAAGTTTATTTGAGAGACATCCAAATCGTTTATTTTTTAGATATTATATATATATATATATATATGCTACTATAATTAATGTGTTAGACTAGTGTAGGATAACTTCTCCCAATAATGTGATCTTAACCATGTTATTATACGAATTTCAGCACCAAATTTCTAATCCAGGATACTGATATTGTAAATGTGTCGGCGGATATGTATAGTCCCTTGGCACTGTTGGGAGAAGGAGTTATATTTATCTTTATAATCAGTAGGTACGGAGAAGAGCGATATTCGTTCTCATCCTATCAGTTACGAGTTTTGTTTTTGTTTTTTTGGTTTGGTAAATAGGAAGATCACATGTTCACATCGTGGAATGTACCCAAAATAATTGCACTTTCTTTCTGTACCGCAAACCCTAAAGCTAGCTCTACCTTTTTTTTTTGTGCAAAATAACTTTCCTCCATAACCCGCCAACGAAAGAAAATAGGGAATGGACCAAACATGATTTCTCATGTCTGTGCAAAATCTGTAATCTCTGTGAAGCCGAATTACAAGCCGGTGGGTTCTGAAATCCAACACATGCATATTCACGGATTGCGCTTCTGTCAACTAGTCACGGATTGTTTATTGAAGTTTGCACACCGCCAACAACAATCCAAACTCTGCATTTTATTTTCACTTGGAATCTCCACAGCTCTCATGTTTTTTACCACAGCTTGTTGTTCTTCTTCCACGTTTAAATATAGTCCTTGTTTTCCCTTCCATTTGTCACACACTAAACTCACGGATTGCTCGTAAAATTCAGCTATATATAATCCTCTGGATCGTCAAACCCATCAAAACCCAGAAGTAAAGTATAACTAGTAGCTAGTGATCTTGTAAAATCATGGGTTCCAAGGTCACTGCCATGTTCTTCATCTTTTTGATTTGCATGGTTTTGGCATTGCCTCCAATTCAAGCTTGTACACCTTGTACTCAGCCACACCCGTCAAAACCACACCCTCCACATCATCCATCACATCCACCACAACCACCTTCCCACACTCCAACCCATCCCAAAAACCCACCAACCCCAAAACAACCACCACACCATAAACCGCACCCAAAACCCCCATCCAAGAACCCACCCGTTATATCCCCCCCCATAGTAAAACCTCCACCGCACCCAAAACCCCCATCCAAGAACCCACCCATTATATCCCCGCCCATAGTAAAACCTCCTGTCACTAACCCTCCTGTGACAATCCCACCCCCTTCCACTCCCTACCCGCCTTACCCCGGCAGCCCTCCTAGTGGTGGAGGAGGCGGAGGGGGCGGAGGAGGAGGAGGAGGCGGAGGAGGCGGAGGCGGTGGTTGTGGTGGATGTGGTGGTGGTGGAGGAGGTGGAGGTGGAAGTGTTCCGGGTCCAAACCCTCCTCCGCCCACGTCACCAACATGTCCAATTGATGCGCTTAAGTTGGGGCTTTGTGTGGACGTGCTTGGTGGTTTGGTGCATATTGGGCTTGGGAACCCAGTTGAGAATGCTTGCTGCCCAATTCTTGGAGGGTTGCTTGAGCTTGAAGCAGCTATTTGTCTTTGCACTACCATAAAGCTTAAGCTTCTTAACCTAAACATATTCATTCCTCTTGCTCTTCAAGCTTTAATTACTTGTGGGAAGACTCCTCCCCCTGGTTTTGTATGCCCTCCTCTCTAAGTGTACGTTTTTGTTAACATGGGGTTAACATTTCTAGCCAGGTTAATTAGAATATGGTGTTAGTTTCTTGATGTATTAATTCGTGTTACTTGAATTGGTATATCTTTTCTTGTGTTAATGACAAGTTAATTACATTCAAGTACGTAATATTTGTTTGATTAAGAATGACGTATGTATTGGCAACTAAGCATAAAACTTATAGATGCCCATAAAAAACACAATGATTGATATCTACCAAGTAGACAATTACATAAAAACTCATTAACTCAATTGCAAAAGAAAATGAAGCGCCTTTAATCCATTCACCCTCTCATTATCGGCATTGCACCCCAAGAAATTGTATAATTTAATTTGATAAATATTTGCAAAAAATCAATTCATCACTTTCATAAGCTAATAACAAAATAATTATATCCATTGCAATAATAATCATATATATGGCTGATTTTCAGATTGAATTTCTTCTCTTAGCCAGCAGGATCACTTGTTTTATAACCAAATATCATCATCAACATCGCGGTTTGAAGAAATTGATATTCCGAAAAAGGTCATCATGCACTCCTCCATATGCAATTTCTCCCTTATAATTTTTTTTCCCTTTATTTAGCGGTGGTAATCGGATATGCTTGGTAAGAGACCCCATGTTGGTGCTGATCGAGGGTCGTTTTCTTGCTCTGCCGAAGCATAATTAGTTTTGTTCTCATCCTGACCAGATTCTGGGCCCAACAGTGCACTGATATCCTGATAATCTGAAACTATTATTGCCTATATTCTCAATCCAAGTTGACATATCCTGACTGCGGAGATTCTTATATCAATCAACCTGAAGCCCTCTGGATACAAACGAAAACATATTTATCATAGCAGATAAAATAGATCTCATTTCCATGTGAAAGAGAAAGACGGATAGATCATATGCAGCCATCTCATAACTTTAAGCATTATATACGAAATAATCAGATCAAATATGCCCTCTGCGTTTGTCTTTTTTTTTGGACTATCAATACCAACTCTACGTTGCAGGAGGAACATTTGTTTTCTTCCGTTCATAAACAAATATTTTGCTTACAATCATCCATGTTTGGAACCAACCAAAGAAACCCTCGTTTCTTCGTATGATATCATAGAAAATTTGAATGTGCCAAAACTTGTTCACGGGGCTGAGATGGTAGGTTAAGCAAGGGGGACCAGCTAATCTATCTACTTTGGGGATCAAGCCAAGATTAAGGCACCTTCCTCTACCGTTCAAACTGAGAAACCTTCCTAATGAGCTGATAGAGATATATGTGTGTATATATATGTAGAATATTGTCCTTTAGGTAAAAAAGCAGTTAATCGTGTAACAAATTTATATGTAGATAGAGCTGGATTCGTATAAATAAGCATTAAGTATTAATTTAAATATTCTATTATATACCAATTGATCAATCTTCTTAATGATACAAATAGAATACAATAATTCGATACGCGTTATAATTTGAGTGAACTTATAACAACACGTAAGATATTACCGACACACCAATTATCTCAAAAAACAAAAAAGATTATTGGCATAGCTTGGAAGTATTAAACACTCTGGGATGGGCATCATGATCATTTTCTTGAAATTATGACATAATTTGGTATGCTAAAAATCAAACACAAGTGGGTTGGGACCTTTGCCTTTAAAAAAAAAAAATATGTAGCGTTGAAAAGGAAAGCGCATACAAATGAATCAAAGTTCCTTTTCTTCGTTTCCAAGCTAAGGATGGGTTTGCATTTCTTTTGCTTAACCCATCCTCATCAGTCACGGGTTGAACAGTGGAAAATAATTGTCATATAGGGTTGCTTTAAGGGACCATCAGTGAACTAAAAAGTAGCATTGTGCCAAAAGTTGGAGTCGTATCTCTTTAACTCCCAAGTGCTCCAACAAATAAACGACATCTTAGATGACATTTGGTATGTTTTAACGATCCACCTTTTCTTCATGGGCACATTTCTATGTGCTTGAATAGATGTAGTCGACCATACCAACTTCATGCCCACTTTCTTTCTTTTCCTTCTTTTTTTTTTTCTGATCAGTATGCATGTGAATTATATTTATAATGCATGTGATCACTTTCAATGATTCTGAAATTGAAGTTGACATATGTACATATGTGTACAAAGAGACACATATCATCAAGAGGGCACATCAGTACTAAAAAAAAGAAGACAAATTTGTTCACAAAAATTACGCACGCCAATTAGGAAAGAATATTTGTTGCTGAAAAGTGAAAGTGGTTCAAGTATCCAATAGGCTAATTGAAAATTCCAATTGAAGTCTAACCAAGTTAAAATACATATATATATTTTTTTACAAAACGATATGCTAAATTACTCTAATGTACGTACTAGAAAGGGAATTAAACTCAGGTGCAAAAGAGTGAGTATACTACCTTAACTAACTGGCCTAACTCACATTTGCAAATCAACATAAATTTAAGCAAGCGATCCACTGCAAGTTTGCATGCTGCTGCATGTGAACTAGTGGTATTATTGGGCCAAGTGCAAATAACTTCTCATTCCAGTCTTAACAGTATTGAGAAGATTAATTGGTAATTAATAAATTAATTTTTCATATATAACTCCAAATTAATTTTTATTTTCTTTCTAAATTTCACTTGTTATACAAAATTTAAGGCCAAATAAAATTATGTGAGTGTTACTGCCCCTCTTTTTTTGGGGCTTCTAGGAAGGGATCAGCAGGATCAGGTTCAGCAAATGATGCCTACAGAATTTTCAAAATGAAAAGTTAAGCAAATTAAATTATATTAGTTTCCAAAAGATTACATTAATAGAAACATCTTTAACTTAAACTTATTCATAATAATCACCCCATGTGGAAACCGCCATAACAAAGGAAACGAGAAATTCCCACTTACACTCACACAATACAAACAATTTCAAGCCAGAAGATAATAACAAAGAGAAAGATAAAGCACAAAGATGATCGAACAAATGGCTATTGTCGTTTTAGGCACATTGGAAATCTTTAGGAACCTTATTGCCGCAAACATTAAGAAGCAAGCTGAGAGAAATTGGAATGTTGAGGTTGATGCCCAAAATGTTGGCTTTGATGGCAGTGCAGAGGCACACAGCAGCTTCAACATCAGCAAGGCCTTGGATGAGACTGCAGCAAGGCGCTACAGGAGGTTTACCAATGGTAATGTTAAGCAACCCATTGAGAACATTAGCACAAACCCCTAATTTGAGGGTATCTCTAGGGCATTTGGTGCCTGTGGAAGGCGTGGAAGGTGTGGAAGGTGTGGAAGGGGTGGAAGGGGTGGGGCTTGGCCTTGGGTTTGGCCTTGGTCTCGGGTTAGGACCGGGGCACGTGCCGCAAGAACTTACAAGAGCAAAGAAGAGGAGATTGAGTGCAAGGAAGAGACTAAGGGAGGCAGTTGTTTTGGAAGCCATTTCTGATCAAACCCTAGAAGTGTTTTTCTTTTTCTTTTTTCAGTTTTTGTACTTTAAGTTAGCACACTAGTAGAACTAATCGAACTTACAAGTATATGTGAGAGTGTGAAGAATTAAGGTCCAGTGGAGTGCGGTTTTATAGGGTTAAAAAACGGTGAGGTGTTCAACTTGATGCTAACAAAAAATTAAACAAATAAATTAAACAAATAATCTGAGCTAGCTGATCCCATGTGTATTCTTGTGATTTTAGCTGGCAGGGGAAGCAAATTAAAGGCAAACTTTTGTATTTTTGTGTGGTGGGGGCTGCCAAATTGCCAGGCTCCCTGTCTTGGCACAAATCTGTGGATGCATCTCATCATGCACTGTTCTTGATACCTCAATTCCAGAGAATTATACGGCATCAAGATTTTCGGGTTTGAACCTTTGATCAAAGGACAATGGTGGGACTGAAAAAATCACAATGTTTTAGGCACATTAAAAACCTTGTCATAGAATTAATGTTCAAATCAACTAGCTCTTGGTCTAGTGGTACATTCACAGGATGTCAGGACCTCGAATGTAAAGATAAACTGCTCTTCATCACTTGAACTACAAGCCCATTACTAAAGATTTACTAACCAAATGTTTCAAGTTTTACTAGTATTAAATTAAGGTTGTGTTTGAATCAAGTATTTGTTACCTCCAAGAAATTCAAAAAGATGGATGAGATTTTGTAAATATGGAATTTATAAAAGTCATAGGAATTTGTAAAGCAATCGGGTCATACGTCTCTGGGTCCAGGAGCTTAGGCCCATGTCCAACTTTGAGATGACTCGTGTTTTAGCAGTAGGTCCCAGTTTTTCTTGGTCGTAGTTCCTAAATAAGTGGTTGGAGATCACAACATTAATGTTTTATTTATTTATGCTACGATGTTGAATTTGAGTTCATATAAAGGTCACATTTTATGTTTCGCGAGGGCCTCCAGAATTTTTGAATCTCCTTTTCAGTTATAAAAATTTCAGGCAAAATAACGTATATCATAAAAGGTACACAGAAAGAAAAAAAAAAACCATTGCTTATGTGGGATCTACGATATGGGATTACTGCATCTTTCTTCTTTTAGTTCTGGGAATTATTTTTTAAAAAAAGGAAGTGGTATTTGATTCCCATAATCATAAGTTCCATAATTTTATTAGCAAACATGAAAGACTTCAACTTTATGCACTAATCTATCACCATGCAAATTAGGCACGAAGAAAAAACTCACAATTTCACCCGCACATTACACGCAATTATATGATACTTGCATAACAAGAAAAAGTTGCGTAAGATCAGAGAAATGAATGATATCTGTTAGTTTTATAAGGCACATTGGAATCCATCTGGAACTTTATCTCCACAAGCACTAAGAAGCAAGCTGATGGCAACGGGGATGTTGAGGTTGATACTCAAAATTCTGGCTTTGATGGCAGTGCACAGGCACACAGCAGCCTCGAGGTCTACGAGGTAGAACTAGACCAACGTTAACGTAACCAACCTGCCGAGCACGTCTGCACAAACCCCTAGGGAAGGCGTAGGCAACTCCATTAGGGGCAAGGTTAGGGTTGGCATTGACAAGGGCAAAGAAAAGGAGATTGAGAGCGAGGAGTGAGGCAATGGTTTTTGAAGCCATCTCTCAAACCCTAAATCTTGTGTGCTATTGTACTTAGTACTTACTGTAAT